CAGGAGCATCCGCAGTGCTCTCAAGACGAGAAACGGCATCTGTCAGCTCAGCTACCTTCGCAGCCTGTACATTGCGCTCCTCTGCAAGCTGATCGATGGACGCCATTGCCGCAGAGAGGCGCTCACGCAGATCAGCATTCTCGATCTCTAGGTCCTTCCTTGTGTTGCATGCATTTTGTAACTCCATTTGTAATCTTGTTATGTCTTCTGTTATTGCAGTTGACGTTGGTATTTGTGTTTGTTCTTCGGTTACGGCTTTTGCATCTGTTGATTTTTGTATGGATTCAGTGACTTTTGTTTGCTTTGTTGGATGCTTTACAATTGTAGTTTGTGTGGTTTTCTGTGACATTATTTCAGTATCAGTGCGGATTTCTGTTGTTGCTGAGGTGGTTGTTCCGTATATCCCCTGAGTTGACTGTTGTTCCTCATCATAATTTTTTACTTGGTGTGTAGTGTGCTGGATATAGTTTAACCGATCGGTTAGTTGATTTATAGTAGATAATTGTGTAGATACACGTTTATTTAAATCTTCGATAATATTTTCTGCTTCACGGTTGCTCTGTTCTGTAGATTGTAACTCTTTTTTAGTTTTGGAAAGTTCCTTTTCTAGCAATTCTTTTGTCATTCGTGATAGTTCAAGTTCTTTTTGAAAATTTTCATTTAATTCTCGCAACCGGCTTGCATCCTTAAGTGAGTTCTGTAACAAACGTTCCTTTTCTTCTCCTTCGTGACGGAGGTTAAATAGTTGCTGCTGCAGTGTTTGTTTTTCTAGTTCTAGAGCAATGTCAAGTGAATTATCGTGTTTTTCTTTTAGATGCTCAATTTCTTCTTTCAGTTCTTCATAACGTTTAGTGAGAGCGTGGTAGTCTTGATGTGATACTGGTGCCCGTTGTAGCAAATCCTCACGTAATTCCTGAATTTCTTTATTTTGACGTCGGCAAAGATCATCAAGGGCTTCTTTTTCCTCTCTTAAAGAGGTGTTTATACTTTGGGTAGAGTTACGCTGCGTAATTAATTCGTTAAGACTACTTTCATTGTCAAGACGTTCTTTCTGGAGTTGCTGTCTTAAATCCTGCATTTCGGCACGCAACACTTGTATCAAGTGTTGTGACTGTGCCAATTGTTCTTCTTTTTCTTCATATTGACCCATTTTCTGGAGTGACTCATCCAGAATATCTACTTGAACACTCTTAGTTGTTTTTTGTACAGTTAGTGAGCTTTTAGCTTTGAGTTCTTCTCGTAAGTTTTGTATCTGGTTCTCCAGACTTCTGTTTTCTTCTTGCAGTCTAGCCATTTCAGTCTCATTTTGTGAAAATCGTCTCTCATAGTCCATGGGTGAAAAGAATTCATTTTCTCCTTTAGACTGTAGCACCTGCTTTAGACGATAGACTTCTCCTTCTGATAGATCAAGTTGACGTCGTAATTCCTGAACTTCTAATTGATGAGATCTTATAACTTCACTACACTTTCGATGATCACGTTCAAGACGATCAAATAAAGCTTGTTTTTGCATCACTTCTCCTCGTAATCGTGCAGCCTCTTCTTTATAATGATCTCTAAGATGATAAGCACGATCCAGAGTATTCTTCACATTACTCATATCACTTTCAAGACGTGCTGTATAGTCCATTCGTTCCTCCGGCGTCATATCATCCCAACCGGAGCGACAACGTTGAGTATCTTTAATACGTGCAGAAGCATTTACATCTAAAGTACTGATATGTGGAGAAATATTAGGCTCTTCCCGTGAGATTCCAACTAATGCGCGGTTTGCCTGAACGTCAGCGGCTGTTGGCATACTATGAGTTAGACGACCCAATGGGTCTGTGGCTGCAAGTCCTCTCACACTAATCGGCGTGACGAGGCGTGGAGTCAATGGCGGTGTAGTTCCGTGTGTAAAGACAATGTTATTACTTCTGTTGCCAATACCCTCAGGTGGTGGCGTCCATGTTCTAGTGAAGAATCCTGGATATCGACGGGCATCATTGGTACTAAACATTTCTTTTTTTTTTTTTTTGTTATTCTTGTCTTTCTTCTTCTTCTTCTTCACCTCTTCGTGCGCTACCAAGAACTGTTAAGTTTTTTGTAAGGTTTAACGAGCCAACCTTTTTCGAACCTTGGTCTTCTCTAGTGTGTGTATGTATATATATGATCTTAAAGTCTAGAGAAGTATGTGGGAGGGACGCTCTCTCTCACTCACTCTCTCTGTGTCTGTGTGTTCCTTTCTTTTTCTTTTCCCTTTTTTTTCTTTTTTTTTTTTTTTTTACTCTTCTGCCTTGTTGTCTTCTGCAAGTATAAATTATCTTTTCGACCTTTTTTCTCCCTCTTTTTTTTTTTTAGGGGTCCGGCCACACGTATTTCTTATTTGAATTAACCTCTTGTTTTTTTTTTTTCTTTCTCTGTTTTTCTTTCCGTTCTTTCCTTCCTTCTTCTTCCCTTCGTTCCTGTGTGTGTCTTTTCTTTTTTTTTTTTCTTAAGTGACACGCACTTCTCTCTTCTGTTGACTTCTGCGGGTTGTTCGCGGCTTCGCTACCGCACACTCTCTCCCGTTCCCCTCACTTCTGAGTAATATAATTCTTCTAAATACACTCTAATCGTAATCAGAGAGAATATATATATATATATAGGGAAAGGGGTATATGGAAATAAAAATAAAAAAGAAGAAACAAATAGGAAAAGAAAAAAAAAAAAAGTATCCTCCTCGTTTATGGATATATCAATGTTAACCACAATTACATGTACAGTTCCTTTCTTTTTTCGTTGGTTTTTGGGGTGGGTGTATTCACTTCTCTTGGATATTATTATTCTTTTTTTTTTCTTCTTCTTTACTCTTAACAAACTCTGTGAACAACAGGGAAATATATATATATATATATCAACACCACAGACACAAAACAACAACCAGTCAAACAAACAAAAAAAAAAAAACAGTCTCACCATATCATCATCATCATCATCAACCTTCCTGTTAGAAGAAGAAGAAGTAAAGAAAAAAAAAAATAATAATAAATAAATAAAAGTTCATCATCTCGGAGCGTTATGTTCAACAATCATAACATCTCCATCCTTCATAATATGATTGGCATTCACGTACATCATCTGCATCTCCGCTGCCTCGAGATTCGGTTTCGTAATAAACACATCCCATGGTAATATCTTTGCCCGTACAAAGTGTTTTTCCATATCGGTGTGAATTTCTCCACTGGCCTCTCGTGCATTAACGCCCTCTGTTGTTGCCCAACCATGAGCCATGAGAGGTCCAACGGTAAAGAAAGATTGTAATCGCAACATACGATAAGCAGATCGTAATAATACCTCACCTCTTGGTATCTCCACACCATACTCTTGTAAAAATAAAAGACGTTCCTCACGGGAGTTAAGTTGTGAGGTTTGTTCTTCTAATGAAGCGGATACTCGACAAGTATGATCCAATCCAAACTTATCTTCTACAGCTTTTGTAAAATTATTTCCCGATACCACACTAGTCTCATCTACATTTAATACAAACAACATGGGTTTTGCTGAAAGAAGTTGATATTGTTGTAACCATTGTATTTCTTCTTCATTCTTTAATTTCATCATAGATGCGGGTTTACCATCTTGTAACCAAGAGACCACACGTTGACAAAAATTTAATCCCGCATCTCCCGATTTTCGTGTTTTATTAATTTTATGAACGGCCTTTTCCATCGCCTCCAGATCAGCCAATACGAGTTCATTTACAATAGTGCTAATATCATCTAATGGCGTTGGGGTTTCAAAGCCATCTCTCGCACTTTCAAAGCACCGCACCATGTGTAGTAAAATCGCACATGGACGAATATCGTTAAGAAATTTATTTCCCAGTCCCGCGCCTTTTGAGGCTCCTTCAATTAATCCAGCAACATCGGCAATATCAATCTCCACATCTACAATTTTCTGAGCTCCTGTAAAGGCGGCAAGTTTACGAAGACGATCATCTACAACAGGGACTTTAGAGAGATTGGCATCAATTGTACAGAATGGGAAGTTCCCTGTTTTTGCCTGTTGACTGCAGGTGAGGGCATTAAATAGTGTGGACTTGCCAACATTGGGAAGTCCAATAATGCCAGCACCACGACGGCGCCAAAGAACAGCGCAGACTCGAAGCATTACTCTACAAATACAAACAAACACACATATATGAGTATACAATATATATATATATATATATGAGAGAGAGAGAGAGGAAGAGAGAAAAAGAAAAAAAAAAGAAAGGAAATGACACTTTCTCACAGACTCAGAGTGTTTTTCATTATTGTTATTTTCATAAAAACCCACCTTTTTTTTTCCGTAGGTTGTTTATACATATATATAGATCATGTCGAAGACATTATGTGGGGTGGATTACATATGAAAAAAAGAAAAAAAAAAACATCAAAATAAAAAATATAATAATAATATGAATAAGAATGGGAAAAAGTATGTCTTTGTGTGTGTGTGTGTGTATATTCGCCTGTGTGTATAATATAAATATATAATATAAATATATTTATATGAAAGATAAACTGTTCAGACGACGACGATGATGATGAAGAAAAAAAAAAAACAAAGAGTGCAATATTACACAAATATATACACACTCCTATTTCAAATATTGTAGAGCGAATGGGGGAAAATGAACGAACAGCAACAACAACAAAAAGAACAGTTTTCAAGAGACAGTGCTAACAATAATAATAATAATAATAATAATAAT